ACTGCTAAGGCATAAAAATATTTGATTTAGTTCATAAATCAGAACTCAGTTTGGCGGTCAAACATTGGCGGCCCCCGGGCCGATCCACAGACCTACAAGAGGGGGGCAATTAGACACTGATCATTATTTCTAATAATATAAACACTGGTTGGTTGCCCCTTTTTAGAGGTCTTGGAAATGGTCTAGAGGGGGAAGCTGTTGATGCTTATGACCACTTTGTTTAGCCCTGTAATATATATATATATATATATATATATATATATATATATATATATATATATATATATATATATATATATATATATATATATATATATATATATATATATATATAAGAATTATTAATATATAGTACAATAAATATAAAATTAACATAATCGTACTATATACAACAAAATAAAGGATAACAAAATAAAGTATTATTTTAAATCATTTTTTCCAAATTCTACAACACTTTTTTTTAGCTGTGTTCCATAGTCATTATGTTCTGAACGTCGTTTATACCTTTTCCATACTTGGTAGTGGTGGTGGTGTGCACTTCCCCTGCTTGTTCAGCATAAACACCTAAACCATGTTTATTATGTTGAAGAAACGGATAAAGATGGCAAACAAGTATATGAACTTTCCAGCTAACATTTAATTGGTATTCAAAGCTATCTTTCAGTTGAACTTGAAGTCTTTGAAATGAATCTTTGAAGCCCAAAACAGATTCAGACAAAAACTCCCCTACTTTCATTCCAAATCCGTTATTTTTTACTATAGAAAATTTTCTGATACAACAAATAACTGGAAGAAGCAATCTTATTTTTGGATCTGTTAAGGCTGCACTCATCAGGTTAATCTCTAGATTATCTAAATTGTCTAAAAACCTTTGTGCATTATTGCCATCTAACCTAATCCCATGGTAGCCTCGTAACATAATATAATTAGTTTTTAGCCATTGCTCAAATCCAGGCCACAGAGCAATTAAAATCTTCACAAACATTGAAATAATCCCAATAAATAGGTGAAGCTCTGGAGGTGGGATGCTATGCTCAACCAATGTTTCTGAAAGCTCATCAAGATAAAGAAAGTAAGCATTCACTCTCGCACCAAAGACATGCGAATTCGCCACTGTGGCTACTTAGACTAAATAAAGAATTTCCGCATTTAAGATCAAATGCAACTGAATATTTAACATCTTCCAACCGCAGTGGAGCTATAAGTAAATTAAGGTTTCCATTGTGTTCAGAAACATCTACTAAAGACAAAATTATTGATCGTTTTACAACAGCATCATCAAGCTTTTTTAAGCTTGAATGCTTGACTAAAGGATCAAAAACATTCAAAACACATTTCAGAAATCCCTGTCCTGAATCAACTGAAATTCTTGCTATACTGGAATAAGGATCTAAGCCTCTCTCGTTCATTGTGTGAAGAATAAGATTTGATGTATTTTTAACAAACACTAGGCTACGAGTTAACTTTTCATCTCCTGATATAAATCTTTCTTTAACAACATCATAAAACTCTGACAAAGAATCATGTAATCCTTCCATTTGAAGCGTGATATTGGTATCAACCATGTTTTTACCTAGATTTTCACGTAAGTTAGTGCAAAGAATCTTTGTTTTTCTTTTAGACAAGCTCAAAGTGTTTGAGAGTTCCATTATAACATCAAAGGATAACTTTCTAAGTGATATTTTTTTAGATTTTGTATCTGGTATTCCAACAACAACATTTAGTGTATTACCGAAAGTGTTAAGGTGGTACAAACCAAAAAAACTAGAAAACTAAAAATTGTTTTGAGTTTTTCAATTTTGCATAAAATATGTGTCAAATTAATCAAAGAACGTTAAGCCAAAGTTTCAGAGCTAAATAAATTATCTTTCTTTAGATATGAGCATTTTATTAGAACACTGTGTATCTTTTTTCCTTAGCAACGGAGATACTAAATATTTAACATGGTTGTTAGGGCAATTTCTCCCTAAAAATAAGCTCAATTTTACTGGAGTCTTCAAGATTTGTAAGCTTGATGTCACTTCTATGTTTTCCGAATTGAAATTCAATTAAAAGTCATTGTTCTTAACCACTAAACACGTTTTGTAACAGCTAACAGATTTGAAAGATTTGGAGTGTTATTGTTTGTTTACCCTTTGGATTTATGTTATATATATATATATATTATATAAATATATTTAAAAGAAATGCCAAATAAACAAAATAGTACTAGAAAGAAGAGCAGAAAATGGAATGGGTTTAAACCATCTGATATTCTTAAATCAAAACCTGCAGATCATGAGATTTCTTGTGTTAGCTCAAGAAAGTTAGATGTATCGTTCAGCTCGGATAAATGTGACTCTGACGACTATTTTATACTTATTAACTTTTTATTGTTAAAGAAATTAATTGCACACACTGTTTGCCCCAATTGCTTTATTGGAAATTTGTTAATCAAAGATAACGTTAATTCTCGCATGGGCTTTTGTCATTTACTTGAGATGAAGTGTACAAAGTGTAACTTTTCTAAAAATTTTAGAACTTCACCAAAGTCAAAGAATTCTTTAAACACAAATGAGTTTCCTATTGATACTGTATTTCCTATTTATAAAAAAGAACTTTCATCTCTAGAATCACCATATGAGATCAACCTGCGAGCTGTCATCGGATTGCGAGAAATAGGTGCTGGCCATGAGTCTATGAAAACTTTTTCCTTCTGTATGAATCTTTATTGTTTGTCGCCTAATGGCTTTAATAAGTTAAATAAAACTGCCATGTTAGTATACAAAATTGCTGCTGAGGAAAGTATGCAAAAAGCTGCTTTTGAAACCAAATCAATAAACAACTCTCTTGAAATGAAAGAAGTTAGAATTTCTATTGATGGTTCATGGCAAAAGCGAGGTCATAATTCGTTGAATGGTGTTGTAACTGCTGTTTGTAGTGATAAATGTATTGATGCAGAGATATTTACCAAACATTGCGATGGATGTAAAATGTGGAGATCTAAAAAAGGAACTCCAGAGTATCAGTGTTGGTTGGTTGATCACCAGTGTGAATCGAATCACAAGGGTTCATTGGGTAGTATGGAATCTGTAGGAGCTGTGGCTATGTTTAAAAGATCTTTACAAAAAAATAAGTTGATATATAAAGAATATCTAGGAGATGGGGATACATCTTTATTTAATGATGTAATAGAAGCAGATCCTTACAAAGAGTATGGTATTATGCCTGTAAAACTGGAATGTGTTGGACATGTTCAAAAACGGTTAGGAACACGTCTACGAAACCTTGTCAAAGCCCAAAAAGGTACTAAAAAACCAATATCAGGCAGAGGTAAACTCACTGAAAACTGCATTAATTCAATGCAAAATTTCTATGGTCTTGCAATCAGATCTAATGTGGGAAACTTGTATTCAATGAAAAAAGCAGTTTATGCCATACTTTTCCATTTCACCAATTTTCCTGATTCCTACACACGCCACCAGTTTTGTCCTCGTGGAAAATATAGTTGGTGCAAATACTGGGCTTTAAATCAAAAGAATTATAAACCCAAATCTACCAAACCTCTGTGGATAAAAGATTTAATTCTACCAATAATTATAAATTTACAATCAGATGAATTGTTATCAAAATGTTTACATGGAAACACACAAAATGCTAACGAGGCACTTAATGGACTTATTTGGGCTCGTGTACCAAAAAGAGTTTTTGTTTCTAAATCAACACTGGAAATGGGAACGTATTCAGCTATTTTAGCATACAATGATGGTGCAAAGGGTGTTATTAGTGTTTTTAGACATTTTGGTTTACATGGTAAGGTATCAAATATTTCAGCGACTTCTAAAAATAAAAAAAGGATTAGTCAAATGAGGTGCAAGTCATCAGAGAAGGGAAAAAAAAGAAGAAAAACTCTTAGAGCCATTAAAAAAGGTCACCTAAATGAGGAAAAAGCAAAAGAATGTAATGACAGTTATGTTTCAGGAGGATTTTAAATTAATATTGTAATAATTATATCAAGAATTTTTCAATGCTGTTTATCTCAGTTCGCGTTTTTTTATTTTTGCTTAAACTTCAAAACACAGTTTCTTGAGTTAGCATTGTTCATTTGATCTGAAATTTTCAGTACTTGCTCGAAATACCTATAAAATTCATTTAACAGATGGATTTTTTTTTATGATCAGTATTTTTATGATCATTTTTTTTTTTTAGTCAGATCTCTCTAAAACGTCAAAAAATAAATAAATAATGAGGAAAAACTACATAACTCATCGTTTACTTTGATATTTAAAAAATCTATCTGTTAAATGGAATAAAATAGTGTTTAAAGTAAGTGTACAAAATTTCAGGTCATATAATGATGGCTAGCCTTAGATATTATGTTTTGAAATTTAGTCCAAAAACGCATTTTTTAATAGTTTTTCCGCCATTATGGTCCTAATGCTAATTTAAAAAAAAAAATTTTTTTTGCTTTTTTTTATTTAAATCATTTGAGTAAACTGTATTTAAAAGCATTTTTATTTTGGAGGTTTATTTCATTTTTTTATTTATTTGGTGTTGTACCAAATTCTTGCTATACTGGAATAAGGATCTAAGCCTCTCTTGTTCATTGTGTGAAGAATAAGATTTGATGTATTTTTAACAAACACTAGGCTACGAATTAACTTTTTATCTCCTGATATAAATCTTTCTTTAACAACATCATAAAACTCTGACAAAGAATCATGTAATCCTTCCATTTGAAGCGTGATATTGGTATCAACCATGTTTTTACCTAGGTTTTCACGTAAGTTAGTGCAAAGAATCTTTGTTTTTCTTTTAGACAAGCTCAAAGTGTTTGAGAGTTCCATTATAACATCAAAGAATAACTTTTTAAGTGATATTCTTTTAGATTTTGTATCTGGTATTCCAACAACAACATTTAGTGTATTACCGAAAGTGTTAAGGCGGAAATTTTCACCTCGTTCAATATTTTCTCTCGTCATTTTATTTTTGAGGAGTACTGAAAAATAAAACTCTAAAAAACTCTAAAAAAGTTTTCTTTTAAGGTTTTGCACTGATTATAAGTTTCAGATATAATTAAAAAAACTTTTATAAATTTAAAGTTGAAATTAAGCAACTGATGCTATTTGTTCACTACATACATGTCCAAGAGCTTCTGAATGGCTAATGAGATTTTTAACAGCTTGGCTTTTGCAGCGCAAATGAGATAATCCTCTTGCTTGAATTAAAGAGTAATTATAAGTAATCATTTTAAAAATCATTTAACAGTTATCATTAGTTCAAGTTATTTGTTTACAAACTCACAATTATTTTATTGTATATAAAATTGAATTTATTATAATATATAGTTAAATTATTGAAAAATATACTAACCAGTAATTGAAAAACACAGAGAACATATTTTATGCAGTTTGATAGGATTTTCTGTGTTTCCATCATTGACTGGAACAATTTCTAATGCCTTTTGTTTAATATTTGATGCTCTTTTTAACTTTTGTCAATCAATCTTAACAAAAACACAACAATTTTTATGTGATAAATTTTTGCTATTTTGTAATAAAATGATGGCATTTATTGTAAACTAAATGCGATGATAATAGTTAATCTATATAATTAACACCTATAATAAATAAAGTTAATACCTGTGATATTTTAGCTATCCACAACCCAATTTTTTGTGTTTCTCCTCTGTGTAAAGCATAAAGGTTTGTTACACATGATGAACATATATATTTGGGACAACATTCTTTTTCCACATCATATTCTTTCCATAAAGGTTTTGAATATGTCTTTCAATCCCTGGAGTGATTTTTAACACTTTTTTAGATCTTTTACCAAATATCTCCAAGCAGCATGCACATATTATGTTTGAGGATTCTGCCATTTTGCACAAAACGTAATTTTCAATATACTACTAACTATTTTTAAGTGAAATAGAAAATATTAGGCTAAACAAAAACTTACCATAAGTTTATTAATTAAAAACAGAACTACTGTTTATATATTAAAGATAAAACAAACTTTTTTTATCTACTTTATTATTTTTGAATTTAATATGGATAACTTGAAGTTGTTATTTCCTTCAAATTTCTATAGCACAAAAATTGAAAATTCAATTTTAGCCATTTTGGCAAAAATTTCAAATTTCGTAATTATTTTTTGCAAAACTGATAACCGGAATGATAAAGCTCTTGATATATTATCTAAATATCAAATATTTTATTAAAAAAGAGTGCGTAAATGACGTCATTTTCTCCCAATATATTTAAGCATAGTCACAAAAAGAATTTATTTTTATGACTATGATTTAAGCATATAAATCAATAACTTGTATGCTTAGCAGTTAGTTTTAATTTTAAAAACAATCTAAAACTTCTTTTTTAAATCTAATAATAACTTCCAGCAAAAAAAATTTAGACTAAACCAAAATTTACCCTGGCGGTCGCAGGGGAGCACTGTGAGCTGTTGATAATGTAAAATCTTTCAAAAAGAGAAAATTTGAGAAAATTTAATAAATTATATATAATATAATTATTTTATTTTTTAATGAAAATAGAAAAACATTTTAATATTTTTATTAACTGCTCTTGTTTCCTTACATTGTTTTTACTAATTCTAAATTTTAAAATAAAGACTCTTGATTTATTCATTTCTTAATAAATGTTCGTTAAGTATCTAAAATTATGAATATATACTACTTTTATGGACTTTTTAAATTTCGAAAGTAAAATATTTTTGAAAATGTTCAAAACGTTTTAAGTTTTTGAAACATTACGATTTTAAAAACAGGCCTTCTATTTTTTTTTTCAAAATGCAAAATATCCGACCGTATAAATAAAGTAGGCCATGTTAAATCAAATAATGAATTTATTACAGATAAATCTTTAGTTGCAGAACAATTTAATGAGTATTTTGTTAATGGAGGTTCTAACTTAGCATCAAAAATAGAAACCACAAAATTAAAATTCGAATCTTTTTTAAATTCAATAATACCAATGTGGACAATAGTGAATTTACGGAAAGAAAACTGTTGGATGCAATGTTTTAGTTAAAAACCTAAAAAGGGTTTAAGATATGATGATATCAGTAGTCACGTCATTATAAAATCAATAAAATGTTACTATTCCACTATTGCACATTTTAAATCTATCTTTAAAACAGCGTTTGTCCTGAAAAACTTAAAATTGCAAAAGTTGTACCAATATTCAAATCTGATGATGTTTCAAACGTTGTAAACTATGGACCAATTTCATTTCTTTCTTGTTTCTCAAAAATACTAGAAAGAATTATGCACAATCGACTTTATTCCTTTCTAAAATAGAAATAATATTCTTTACAACAAACAATTCAGATTTAAGTAAAGACATTCCACTGACCATGCCATTATTCACCTAATTCGTGACATACTTAAAGCGTTTAATGAAAAAAATACACTGTAGGAGTTTTCATAGATCTTAGCAAAGCGTTTGACCACAGTTGATCATAACATTCTTCTAGCTAAACTAAATAATTATGGCATAAAAAACTCAAGCATTAATTAGTTTAAAAGATACTAAACAAATAGAAAAAATAGAATAACGAAGGAAAATCAATATTTATGATAGTCGCATGCGGTGTTCCTTATAAATCAATACTCGGACCACTGTTCTTTCTTGTTTATATAAACGACTTACATAATTTTTCTAATATTTTAACTACAATTTTATTCGCCGATGATAGAAACTTGTTTTACTCTAATAGTAACATCGACTTCTTATTTGAAACAATCAATAAGGCACTCACAAATTTAACTGAATGGTTCAAGTCGAATAAACTATCCTTAAATATAAGTAAAACCAAATACACTCTTTTTCATAGACTCCACGAAAAAAAATTATTTCACTAAAGCTTCACTATCTATGTATCGATAATTCTAATATAAAAAGAGAACACTCGTGCGCGTTCTTAGGAGTATTTCTCGACGAAAATCATTCTTGGCGCGAACACATAAGTATAACGGAACCAAAATATCAAAAAATATTGGTTTATTATAAAAAGCTTAAAGGTTTATAAACAAAAACTGATTAAAAAACATATATTTATTTTATTCACAGCTACCTTAATTATGGGATTATTGCTTGCTACAGCACCAACGCAACCAAAATAAAAAAGTTACTTAGTACACAAAAACATGGCGTACGAATTATTTCAAACGTAAATAGTTTAACGCCCTCAAAAGGTTTATTTGATAAACTAAATATACTCAATGTTTATCAACTAAACATTTATCATATACTTACTTTTATGTACAAAGTTGATAATAAAATGACACCTGTAATATTTAATACCCTTTTTAACATAATAAATCATTTTTACTCTACTAGATTTTCAAATCAGAACTACATTAAACCCAAAACATTTTATACGGCCACCAAATTCTCTACTACTTCTTTTTATACATTTAAAATAAAACTTAAACAAAAACTTCTTAATATTGACTAGGGATACGCCGAATCCGGTTTTTGGCCAAACGCTGAATCCGAACGTTCGGTTATGATATTTTGCCGAACGTTTTTAAATGCATTGAATGATTGTTTTTTAAATGCATTGAATGATATAGTAAATATAGTGTAAATAATGTATACTTAAATATAGTGCTCGTTTGTACAGGTTCTAAAATAATTCTTTGTGGGTGTATATATAGAATAGAAAGTTGTAGTGAGAAATATAACAAGCAAATTGTAAATTCAATAAAACACTCCTATAAGTTTAGAAAGAAATCAATATTCAGGATTACTTGTATGTGGTGACTTAAATTACTCAAACATGAAATGGAGTAACGAAAACACTGACTCAACAGCTGACCTTAATACTACCAAAAACAGGTTTTTAAATGTTTTCTAACTCAAAATATAAATCAACCAACATTTCAAATAAATAACTAGGAAACAACAAATGTATTGGACTTAGTGATATCAGAATCTTCAGCTAGAGTTTTTAAATAGAACACATGATAAACTTTATTTAAATATTTCTTGAACATTTTATTAAATAAACAATATTGTTTATTTTTTGTTTTAAAGAATTTTTTAAGCTTTTGTTCCAAACAATTTTAGCATATGTTTGAAAAATCTGAGATAATGGAATAATATCGTGTTTATTAACTTTAAAAAGTTTTTAAAGTTAATGAACATAATGGGTATCCGTTATGTTTATTAACTTTAAAAACTTTTTAAGTTAAATAAAGAAACTTTATTAACTTAATAATGTTTTTATTTTATACACATGCATATACATATATATATATACATATATATATATATATATATATATATATATATATATATATATATATATATATATATATATATATATATATATATATATATATATATATATTGTTGTTTTGATTATTTGATAATAATCAACTCTTTTTCGATTTGAGAGTGATCAATATAAAGTGAAATAATCACAAAATAGATCAATAAATAAATAAATAAAAGGTTAGATGAGAAAAAACAACTTTTTTACGGTACTTAAAGTTTCATGCCGTTGTTTTTTCTCATCTAACCTTTTATTTATATATATATATATATATATATATATATATATATATATATATATATATATATATATATATATATATATATATAAATATATAAATATATATATATATATATATATACATATTAGGGTGGTTATTTTTTCATTTTTTTTTTCAAAAAACTTGACACCTCTAAATGTATGCAAATAACAATAATTTCGCTTCATTTGAGTACCAGGTTGATATATATATATATATATATATATATATATATATATATATATATAATAATAATAATAATGCATGTATATAATGGAAGCAAAAGGTAATTACCCGATTACCCGTTATCTCAGGTTTTCAAATATAACGGCAACGTAACGCTTGATTTCGTGTTTTATAACAGGTAATTACCGTTATGTTCAATATATAATTGGCATGAAAAATTCATATAGGCAAAACCGTTACCTTTTTTTCATACAAATTATACAGTGAACATCATGGTAATTAGCCGTTATGTTCAATGTAAAATGCGTATGACAAAAAAAATAACGGCAAATGCTATTTTTTTCATACGAATTATACATTAAACATAACGGTAATTACCTGCTATAAAACATGAACTCAAGCCTTATGTTTTTTAAAAATATAATGAGTATTTTTTTACTGTGTACTAGACTGAAAAAATTTGCAGTATATGGTGCACATTTATGTAAATTTATAAATTATGAAAGATGGAAAAAAGAGCTTTGCAAAAATTCATACAATACATACTAGGATAACCCTTCTTAAAGAAAAAACACTAAATTTCAACATAAACTAAAAAATTTAAAAATATTATTTAATACTTAAAATGCAATTTAAAAATAAATGATATTTATAATTGCTAAAAAAATTCTCGAAAAACAAGTAAATAATACAATTACTGCATAACTGATATTTGTTAATTACTTAATAGTGATTTAACAAAAAGGCCATAAAACAATAAGTATTTAAAGATTTGAAACAGGTTGAGGCTGGCGGTAACTGCAAGCAGCAATGTCTTTTTCAATGTCATAGAAAGACATATCGTTGTACTTGTAATATTCTGAGCATTTATAAATATTTGCATTAATTATATTTTCCTTGTCTTGCTCCTCTATTTTTTGTAAAACTGTTTGATCTAAAATAAAAAATACAAATGAAACAACTTTCCAACGGAAAAACAATACAATATAGAGTAACGCGGGGCAAAATGAGACAGCGGGGCAATACGAGACAGTTCGCGTTTAACATAATGCTAGCCCTACAAATTATTATTTGCAAAATTTTTAAAAGTGCAGTTGTGTTAAAAAACTATTTTGTACCATGAAAAATATTTTGAGTCACTTTGAAATAAAAAAGTTGAGTAAAAGGGGAATCATTTCATCTCTCGGCTTCGCGAAAATTACGAATTTTTAAGAGTTGTTATTATATTTTTTCCTAGCCTTTTTTGATCTCACTGAGTGGAAAAGCTTTTTATATTTAAAGTTTTTTTTTAATTAGAATCTTTAGGCCTTTTTCTTTCATTTCCATTCTTTGGTATTTTATTTCTTCAATAAAATAGTCTGGAAATTAGGCTATTCGATGCCAACATGATGCGGGGCAAAACGAGACATTCTGTTTGTATTTTTTTTTGCCGATATCTAATATTATGTTTATTTAATTTTTTACATTAAAACAACAACCAATGCAAATATTATTATTTACATGCTGTAGATTTAAATTTATTATACTGCATTTACTTACTTTTTATTTTGTTAATTGAAATGTTTAGTTGTTATCCAATATAGAATTACGTTTTATATTTTGTTAACTTATATTTAAATATAAATAAATATTTAATCAAATTGAAGCAAATAATTGCCTGATGTTTATAATTACTATGTTTGTATTTTATAATCTTATTGTATTGTAATGTAATAAAGTAAGTAGTATATAAAATATATAGTGAGTAGATTATAACATATAGGTTATTGTAGTACCTATAAACAAAATACAATGAATGTTATGCGTGCTTTAAATACATAAGTTTAATATATGCATGTATGGTTTTATTAGTTCTTGTAGTGGATATATATATATATATATATATATATATATATATATATATATATATATATATATATATATATATATATACAAGTGGAGTCAATTTTCAAAATGCACAACCTGGGCTCATTTGGACTGTTGTTCGTTTCAAAATACTGGTCAAGCAATATGTGATTTATGTGACTAGTGACTGTTTGATTACAGCTGTAATATATTATAAAATGTATTACTTGCTAATCCTCTTAAAGATCTGTTTTTTTTTTAACTTTATTTATTTAAATTACTAAAAAAAAAATCTGTCTCATTTTGCCCCGGTATGCGGGGCAAAATGAGACAGGATAGGTGCTGTCAATAAATGATCTCTGGTGACCAAACTACTGCAGTTTTGCAACTCATACTTTTTAGGCTTCAAGTAGGATCGTAGAAGAATTGAAAAATATCAATTTATTTTTTCAAAAGTTGTTAGACGGGCCGTATTAGATGTATTAGCGCTTAAGTGTCTCATTTTGCCCCTCGTTACACTACAAGTCTAAAAAAAAAAAATTGCTTATAATAACCCATTGTTAACACAAAAGTCTGAAAAATATCCCAATATTGAGCTGTACACATTTTTGTTTGTATAGATTCGAGTCAAACATTGACAAACCAATATAAAGGTGGTATTTCTAATTTTAGACCAATAAAACTGGTTATATCATTTAAACCAGAATTATCCAATTTCATACTAATAACAATTTTAATTTACATGGTAAATATAAATTAAAAGTGTACATTAAATTATGTTATTTCGTTTTCTTATCTGCAGCCATCTTTGTTTATTTTTGAAGATTTGCTTTATACAAAAAAATGAAAAAATCTCGGATTTTATTACACTTTTTAATATTATTTCATATCTATAAATTTAATATTATAATTATGCGTTACTATATGTATTTTATTTAAAAAAGTGATTTTGAGAAATAAAAAGAAATCTAACATATTTAAGTGTTTATAATGTTTATTAGAGATAACAAGGATGATTTAAAAAAAAAATTAAAAAAAACAAAACTTTTAGTTGATCCAGAATGGGGGAAAAAGTGTCATAAAATCAGCATAATTGATCACATTCAAAATGCTTTAAGTCAGTTTGTTTTTATCAGTTTTCAATTAAACTTTAAAACATTTTTCAGTACACCCAGATACTCCATTTAACCGTCAGATTTTTTCTAAATCGAAATATTAAAAAAGTTATCAACTTTTTTGTATGAACCTATTGATAGAGGGGGGGGGGGGTCCAAAATTCTATATTTCTTGTTTAACCAGTTATTCTTAATTAATTTTTTGAGAAAAGTTTAAAAAACAATTCAGTTTTTGCTAATTTTTTATGGTTGACCTTTTACTTCTATTTTAAAAATTTAAAGATATAAAAAATAAAAGTCTTTGCAAAAGTTTCTTTTTGTATAAAGTTACGCAACTTTTCTTTCAAATTTATGCTATTCAATTTTTGATTGGATAAATTTGAGTTTTAATCGTTGCGTTTTAGAAAAAAAAAGTTTCATCCTTAGTCTTTTTCTAAAAAAACGTTTTAAATAAGTAAAACGACAAACTGCTTCAAAAAAAAAGTTTTATCTGAAGTTTCTTTCTAAACAAAACGTTTTAAGTAATCAAAAAGACAGATTGCTTCATAATATCTTAATTTTTTTATTTTTTTTAATTTTTAATCGTTATTCAAGCTATCAAGAAGGCTATTCAAGATTTCATTTTTATTTCACTTTTCTTTAATGAAGTCAAGAATAAATCTTCTTTTAAAGTGCCAGTCAGTAGAAGTTCAGTTAAATTTTAAAGTTTTAACAATTCTAAAGATAAACAGGCTAAAGGAACACCGCTACCTAAAAGGCTTTATAAAAAACAAACTGGGTGATCAAATTTTGAAATTTTCTGCTTTACTCTAAAACGTAGTGAATAGCTAGTTAAAAAAAATTCTAGAACCAGTTAATAAGTATACCTCAAAGAGGTCAAATGATTGTATCATTCTTGCTAGAGTATTTTGGCAAAAGTTAGCCTCAGGACTTCAAAAAAGAGAAAAGTATTATGTGTTTGGTTGATGATGGAATATGATTAGTATTAACTTTCTATTTAAGTTGTTGCAGTTGGAAAGCTTTGGAAAAAATCCATTTAATTTCAAGAGTAGATGTATACTTAATTATTTAAACCATATAAAAAATTAGGGTTCTCGCAGTTTAAAAATATTTTGGAGAATTATTGTCCAGTTAATTGTCCAAAAAGTTGAAACTATGGAATATAGTTGAAACTAGCTACAAAAACAAATGGATAACAAGGGAAGAGCAGCAAACTTTACATTAGGTGTGCAAGATGAGTTCTGTTTTAGTTTGATTAAAGTTACAAGGCAGCCCATTTAGCTGTGAACTAGACATTATTAAAATAGATAAAGGTATGTTAAAATGAAAAAAAAGTTCGAAAAATGAGGTTCTTTATTTTAGGGATACAATGTAGGTCATTGTCGCGGAGGTCTATTCTGTTTAAATACATGATTGTTGATATAAAAATACAAACCTCCATCTTATGTCTACCAAAGAACACGCATATAACCTAGATGTTCTATAAGGAAAGTTCATGCAGCAATCTCTATCACATATGATTTTTATAAATGAAAAAAAATGATTATGATTTTCAAAATCAGCATGAAAGTCTAATTAAGAAAAATTGGTTAAACTATAAAAAATCTAATAAAAGACGATTATGGACCCCCCCCCCCCCTACTATTGATTTTCAATAGTTTTGTGGTATGTTTCAAAAAGTTTAGGTCTATAAATCAATATTTAGAGTGATTCATAAAAATTCTGATGGTTAAATGGAGTGCATATAAGTTGTGAACTTATCTTGAAAATTTGAAAGCAAATACTCTATCCAATATCAAGTTATGATGTTTTAAGTTTTCAAAAAACGCTCAAAATGAGAAGCTGAGAAAAATACAAAAAAAGTTTAAAAAGTAGAAACCTCAACAAACAAATTTTTTAAATTCTAATAATTTCCTGTAGCGTAAGAGACTATGGGTTCTTTTTTTTTAAAATGTCACAATAACCCTTTTGCTTTGCTATGATGGATTTTCTTTGCCTTTTTACATTGTCAGTAGCTTTTTTGGTCATGCGTTTTACACGTGATATATCGAGTTTCTTTTCAATTTGGTGCAAAACTATTCTCGTCAATCCAAAATATTCTAATATGCCAAGGATTCCATTTCTGCCATTGTTAAAATGTATTACAGCTGAATAAGTACCCATTTCTATGGTTTCTCTTCCAACAAATATAGACTTTGGTACACGAGACCATATGATTGCATTCAAAGCCTGGTTTGCATTTTGTGTTTTGCCATGCATACAATTTTCCAATAGTTTATCTTTCATTAAAGCTTTAAAAGTTGGAAAGATGAGATTTTTTATCCACAGAGGAATTCAATTTTGTGACCTATGTCTTATTTGCTTTTGAACAATACTTGCACCAACTTCCAGCATCTCTTGGGCAAAATATATGACAATCGAAAGGATCTGTTAGGTCAGTGAAATAAAAAAGTATTGATAATATTGCCTTCTTCATGGCATACAAATTTCCAATATTATTACAAATGCCCAGGCCATAATAATTTTGCATAGAGTCAATGCACTTTTTGGTAAGTTTGCCCTTAACAGATAAAGATGTTTTAGTGTTTTTATAAGATTTGACAAGAAGGCAAACGAGTCCCAAGGTGCTTCTGTACGTGACCAAAACACTCAAGCTTGGTTAGGGTTACATTATGATCTTTATATGGATTAGATTTTAGAACATCATTAAATGAACTGGTGTTTCCATCTCCCAAGTATTCTTTATAAATAAGGACATAATTTTGTAACGATCGGGCAAAAATGTCAACAGCACCAGCTGATTCCATTGCCCCTGAGACTTTTGCATGATTAATTTTGCAGATGTGGTTAAGTTTCCAAACTTGATAACCAGGGGTATCATGTTTCTTTTCCCACATTTTGCAACCAAAGCAATGCCTTGACTTTATTTCGACATCTAGACACTTGCCACCTAAAATAGCTGTTACTACTCCATGTAGTGAAGAATGGCCAGGTTTCTGCCATGTCTCATCAATAGAAATACGAGTGCATGGTATATTACTAACAGTGTCAATATGGTCAACCTCTTCAGCAGCAGTTTTCAAACTAAACTCAGCTACTTTTTTGTAACAATTTTTAACAACTTTATTAAGTTGGATGAATGGACCTTTTGTTAAACATTTTAAATTCATTATTGAAGAAAAGGTACCAATAGCACTAAAACCACACCCAATTTCACGAAATGCAACAACAGTTCGTACATTAATGTCAAAGGCTCTACGACCCTAACTCTTTTTATTTTCCTTTGGTTTTGTTTCAGGAGAAGTATATGAGGTTTTCATCCAGTAACAATTTAAACATTTGACACTAATAAAGTGTGAATACCCTCGTTTAATTTTTCGTCATGTAATATGATGTTACTACCACAATGTGGACACATCAATTCACAAAATATATTTTGCAGCATTTCAAAATGTACTAACATAAAAAAGTCATTATCAAAATGATTTGTTACTGCAGATGCAGACATTTCATTATTCATACTTAATTTCATTCCACTTGAATAAGTACCAAAAACAGATGAATCCTCAATATTTTTTTTATTTGCAATCATGTCATTCCACTTTCTTTTTTTTAATTATGGAATTTTGTTTATTTGGCATTCTATTATTATTATTTAAAATCTAAAAATTATTATAATATATATTATATAAATATATATATGTATGTATATATCACATATTCATATACTAATAAAAACATAAATACATTTAGGATGCAACAAACAAAATAGTAAACATATATATGAAGCTATATAAGTGTGACTTTCGATGTAACTTCCCCACACGTGTTAGTAGTTTTGAATTGTACTTTTTAGAACTACTTTTGAGTAGAGCAAAGTGGATTTTTTGTCTGACAAAAAAATGAGTTAAATGAACTACTTGAAGGAATCATATTAGACCATAATCATTTTGAATGGTAACTAAGGACGTTGCTATGTAAATTTTCAAAAGTGGATAGCCTGAAAAGTTATCAAAACTGACAAAAAAAGGTATGTTAGGTGATTAATTCTTGGGGGAAATGAAAGTAGTGGTATACAAGGTGCTGTTTTAATAATAATAATAAAAAAAATCCAAAAAAATCATTATTTCATCATTTTTTTATAGGGCTACCACCTTAAGTTATATAAACTAAAT